TTCGAAAAATTCAAAGTAGGAGCAATTTCTTTTCATAGTTCTAAAAAATTTAATATAATTCAGTTTTCTTTCGCTCTTCTTTTCTCATTTAAAAAAAACAATTATTATTATTACGATTATGATCTGCTTAAAAATTCAAATATAAGACCAAATATATTAATATTCAATAAAAAATGGACTTGCTATTTCACAGTTTTCTTATTCATCTTGCAATGTTTGTTTTACAAATTTGATGTTCGTATTTAATTTCGAGTTCCAGTATATGTTACTTTTTTTATGTATTACTTTATTAATAGTCACGATCATATTTGAAAACATAGGGGAGAATACTTATAATTTTTGTTATAATATAATTATTATTTTTGTCAAATATTTGTTTATACATAGAAATGATTTTTCAGTTTTTGTATATATAACTGTAGGCTTTCTAATAATTAATTAACATTATTTTAGAAAATTTAACTTTGTAAACTATTTGTAGTTGATAAAATTCCTCCTTATTGTTTTATGAGGAGAAAACGAGGATTGTGTTTGAAAGAAAATGCGAGTGATGTTCAGTTGGAGACGAGACACGAAAAAAATATATAAAGTGATTAATTTTGTGCTCTTACTGGTGTTGTTTTTTTCATATCTATTACTTTACTAAAATTCACGGTCATCTGTGAAACACAACTATAAAGATTATTTTTTTTTACAAGTTAAATGTATTGCCTCAATGTTCTAGAGATTTTATTTATTGAATACCCTTTTATATTTTATCATTGTCTTTTTTCTCTCAAAGATTAAATAAAATTTATTTTTTTCGTACAATTTATTTAAAAATTATTAACTTCTTGAATTGTTTCATATTATTTAATATATTATCTGCAAATAAAATAAATTATTCTCAATTTAAAGAATAAATTTATAGATTAACATGATGGAATACTTTCAATGTGATACTTTTAATGGACAAAATATTATGATTTTAAGCTACGTTATAAGGTCACTAATTGATATTAAATAATAAAATATATTAATTTAAATTCATACATAGCTAATATCATTAATTAAAACTAAAATTAAATATATCATATTGAAAACAAAGATATAAATAGTTCAAAATCATGATTAGAATTTAGGTAAAACAGTAAAACACTACATAAATAAATAAATAAAAAGTATTATAGTAAACAAATGTCGACAAGAGAATAACAGGGATTGTGTGAACACATTTATGATTTTAATTAATTTGAAAAATAAATAAATAAGAGAATTCTTAAAATTATTAACAAATTTAAATAATGAACTAAGTTTATACTGATTTGTTTTTATAAAATATTTTATTAAATACATATCGGTGTGCTAAATATTTAACAATCTCTCATGTGAACTTTATAATATCATCGTATAATAAGTTAAATCTTGATATTAATCAAAAAGCAAGTAGTTATGATTAAATTTATCAACGGACCGTGCAACACGTGGGTACGTAAACTAGTTTTTAATAATATTATAAAAATATGAATAAGTAAAATGGATCGAATGAAATTTATATGACTTACTTTCGTTTTTAGTCAATCTAAAAAAGAATGAGATATTTCTATATTAAGTACTTCCTTTGTCCACTTTTATTTGTTATGTTGCGCTTTTCGAAAGTCAATTTGACTAATTTTCAAAGTTAAATTAGATTACATTAATTCAATATTTTAAACAAAAAAATAGATACTCAAAAACTATACGAAAAGTACTATAAATTTCAATATTTTGCATATCAATATGATGAAAAAATACGTCGTAAAATGTTAGTCAAAGTTTTTATAGTTTGACTCTAAAAAAAGAAACTATGATAATTAAAAGTGAACGGAGGTAGTAACAATTTAACTTTAAAATACTTACCTCCGTCTACTTTTAATTGTCATAAGAAAAATCTTAAATTTCGTGTCGAATCAAACAAACTCATATAAAATGGGATGGGACTGATGGAGTAATACTAAGTGAAATTTGGTGCAACTTTAGGAGAGTTTGGCCTAAATACTTATTATCGAAGTAATGAAACTTCTTCATTAATCATATGATTAGTCAAATACACCACGTGAAGGATTCCTCTGCGTGATGCCCAAGTAGAGCTATATTCCATTATAGACGTCCTCATTTCTTATCTTACAACTCGTCATTACAAGCACTCACAATATGACACGTCATCAAGTTAAGCACAACTTATGAGTTGTACACAACATTTGCACCAATTTGACCAATGCAACTTTAAGAGATCCGGCTCCTCTCCATTTTTCTTCCCTTTATTTTTTCTAAATTCTTGCTTAAATGTGAGACACATGACATAGGTAGAAATTAATGGTTAAGATTTAATTAAATTAAAATAAGATTCTAATTATGATTTAGATAATTAATATTTCATAAGGAAAATGATAATACCACAATCATAACAATATATTATCTTGTCCATAAATATATTATTAAAAAAATTCTCTTTTTTCTAATCTTTTTCTTACTATTATTCTTTGATTTTTTATTTTTTTTAAAAAACTCTTACTTGTATTATCTTCTGTTTTTGTCCATAAATATATTATAAAATAATTTCTCTTTTTTCTAATTTTTTTTTCATTGCGATTATTTTTGCTATTAATTATATGTAAACTAATTTTAAAGAGAAAGTTCAAAGTTGCTAACTAAGACTAACTTAATTTTAAAAAAACAAACAGAAGATAAATACTCGTAGGAAAAAAAATTTAGAAAAGAAAAAAGTTTTTATAATATATTTATGGACAAGATATTATATTGTTATGACTTATAATTATGATATTATTATTTTTCTTATGAAATATTAATTATCTAAATCATAATTAGAATCTTATTTTAATCAATTAAATCTTAGCCATTAATTTTTATCTATACCATGTGTCTCACATCCAAGCAATAACTTGGGGAAAATGGAGAGAAGGGAAATGGAGAGGAGCCTGATCCAACTTTAAGGTTTTGTGGAGGTGAAATAATTATACAAAGGGATTTTATAATTTATTCAAAAACTTCTTAGGTATAAAAATAGTTTCAAACAAAAATACATTAATTAAAAATAAATTTATAAAGAAATATTGTATATTTTCTATTTTTAAATATAAAATACCTTTCTTTTCATTTAAAATATCAAAATTTTATTTGCTACAAAATACAAAAAAGAAGAAGAATTTAAACACATTTCATAGGGCTCCACGTTCTCCAACCCCACTCTATTTTACTCTCCATTCTCTATATTTGGAGAGTAAAATAGAGAATTGGGTCTCCAACCACTCTAAAAAGCTCTCTATTCTCTATTTATAGAGAGGTGAATAGTAGTTCTCGGAGAACGGCTATTCACCTCTCAATTTCACTTTTTCATTATTTTAATAATATTTCTATTATTTATACCTAACACATTATTTTTCATATAAGGCTATTAAATAAATTTCTAATATTCGTAATTCTTTTTAAATATAGTACAATATTTTTAAAAAAATATTATTTAATATATACTACTTTCATCCCGAATTAACAATATTTTAAATATATTTTTTTCAATTTTCGTCACTTTAAGAGATAATTTGATATTATTATTGATTTTCACTATGAAGAATGCACAAAATTTAAATGATAAAATGAAAATTATAATTAAAAAATACAATACATGACATAATAATTTAAATACAAGATAACAATACAATACATAACATAATGATTTTTAAAATCACAACAATAATTTAGTAATCCGGTAGATCATTTTCAGTTTTAACAATATTCGAAAAAAAGATATTGTATGATCTAGAGAATTGTTGTATTTGTTATTGTGATTGTGCTTGTTGATTTTTTTTTTTCAATTTTTCGTAGTTGTTCTTTAAAATTTACAATAAAATATAATTTTATATTAAATAAAAAAATAAAAAATAATAATTTAATATTACATGAAAATTATATAGGGCGATTATTTTGAAAAAAGAAAGAACGGATTTATATTATGAAATAAGAAAATGAAATAGAAATGAAATAATAATATAATATTAAGGAGAGAAAAGAAGATTATCTTTTAAAGAGTAAAATAGAGAATTGGGTTGAAGTTAGTTATCTGAAAAATAGATAACTCTATATTTGAAGAGTAAAATAGAGTGTAGGGTTGGAGATGCCCTTAGCACTTGTAGTTTGAACATTTCATAACATTTTTACGTCGAAAACAATCAAACAAACATTCAAAGTTAGATTTTTTCAAATATTAAACAATGTCATAAGCTTTTAAGATTTTAAATTATTTTTTGATTTGGTAAAATATATAAATGTGATTAGCTTATTCAAGCCATCACTAAAGGATGTGATGCTTGGTTTGGGTTCTTTTTCCCTTAATCAATTATCTTGATTTTGTGTCGTGGTATAATTTTATATTTTATAAGAAATATTTTCTTTAAATGGGTCCTATGTAACAATTCTCCGAATTAGTCAATTCCAGCATAGATATCAGATACTCTAGATTAAGGAACAACAAATGTGAAAACCCAAAGAAGAAATTTAATTAATACTTCCTCCATTTCATATTAATTGAATTGTTGAGATATTTTTCATTTTTCAAATTAACTTAATTGTTCAATTTTTAAGACTATGTTTAGAATGTTCTTTCAATTTTACCCTTCATTAGTTAGTATTGAATTTAGTTATTAATTAATGTTTGGTTATTTTAATCATAGATTTGACTATAATCTTTTTCTCTTATTGAAGGGTGCAACAATTTAATTAACTTGAAATGTAAGGAGTAAATAATAATATTCCAGCTAACATCTACCCATATATTCGTGGCGACCAAGTTTGCTCGTTCATCGCCCAATTTAGTTGTTGAAATCCTCAAGCTTCCCGCGTATAAATAGTCTCCACCTATCCCTGTCCTTCAAAATCATCCTGTCCATAATCCATCGGCGACCGGATTTCACTGTATTCCGGCAACCCAATTAACATTTCAATTCCCCTAATAAAAAACGCCGAAAATGTACGACGTCTCAAAAATGCAGAACACAGCATCAACTTTATTCTCGGCGTACGCTTCTCTTGCGGCGTCGATGATGCTTGTTCGCACGATGGCTAACGATCTCATCCCAAAATCACTCCTGACATATATCCAATCAGCTATCAGTTATCTCTTCACTCCACTTTCTACCCAACTCACCATCATCGTCGATGAACAGTGTGGAATGACCCGAAATCAAGTTTATGAGGCCGCCGAAATTTACCTCCGTACCAAGATCGGTCCAAACGCCGACAAAGTCCGGGCCCACAAAACCCCTAAACAGAAAAACATCAACGTGAGCATAGAGAAGGATGAGGAGATCACTGATGTATACGGCGTCGTACAGATGAAATGGAGATTGGTTTCTGTTGAGCCTCAAGAAAGACATGGGTTTACCCCAGAAAAAAGATTTTTTGAGCTGAGTTTTAATAAGAAGTTTAAAGAAAGTGTTTTGAATGAGTATTTACCCTTTGTGTTGACAAAGGCTAAAGAAATTCAAGATAATGATAGGGCTGTGAAATTATATACAAGGGATTGTCCTTGTGGTAGTGATGATGATGGGTATGGGTATGGAGGTGGGGGTGGTGGGGTTTGGGGTTCCATAAATTTGGATCATCCTGCAACTTTTGATACTTTGGCTATGGAACCTGAAATGAAGAAGATGATAATTGAGGATCTTGATAGATTTGTAAAAAGGAGGGATTTTTACAAGAAAGTTGGTAAGGCTTGGAAAAGAGGGTATCTTTTGTATGGACCTCCTGGAACAGGGAAATCTAGCTTGATTGCTGCCATGGCCAATTACTTGAAGTTCGATATATATGATTTGGAACTCACCAGTTTGTATTCTAATTCGGAATTGAGAAGAATTTTGATTTCCACTTCGAATCGATCCATTATTGTGATTGAAGATATTGATTGTAGTGTGGAAATGCACGATCGAAATCTTGGGCATCAACCCACTGACACTAAGGTTTGACTTTATTCCTCTTCTGTTAGTTTTTTTTTTTTTTTTTTAAAAATGTTTAATGCTTTAATATTGAGTCAAAATCTCATTGTTATTTTTGTGTTTCTTGTGCAGATAACGTTATCGGGTTTGTTGAACTTCATTGATGGATTGTGGTCCAATTGTGGGGATGAAAGAATTATTGTATTTACAACCAACCATAAGGAGAAGTTGGACCCTGCTCTGTTGAGACCTGGTCGAATGGATATGCATATTCATATGTCCTATTGTACTAATCAGAGTTTCAAGATTCTGGCTTTTAACTACTTGGGTGTATCTGATCATAGACTATTCGGGGAGATTGAAGGCCTAATCAAGAATGTAGAGGTTACCCCTGCAGAAGTTGCAGAGGAACTGATGAGAAGTGAGGATGCTGAGGTTGTCCTTGAGGGAGTGCTTAATTTACTCAAGCGAAAAGCGGCTGAAGCCAATGAAATCAAGGAGGAGAAGAGTCCTAGCACACCAGAAGACAATGACAAGGACGATATTGAGGATGAAAAGGTTGATGGAGGTGAGATTCAAGAAGCTAAAAGACTGAGAACTGAAGTGTTGGTACATACTTTGAGAAACCAAAGGAGAGGAAGAATGAGAATAGGAAGACCGAATAGAGGACGAGGGGCGCGTTGGTAAGGGTAAAGGAAGATGGGCAAATGTAGGTATTATACTAGTGCAATTTCCCGATGCTTAATGTGTAAACGTATGCACTTTTCACTTGTTTTTTTGATCAAATATATAAGTGCACGGTAACGAGTAAAGAAATTTCTTAACTTTCGAGATCAGGGCAATTGGCAATGCAGATGTTTATTGTAACAAGTTCTCAGGAACTTGTCATGGTTCTAATGTTATCTTAGTACAGTATTACTAGCATTTTTCGAATCAATTGTAGTAGTCACTGCAGTAACGACTCTTAAAACATGGTCAATTTACTACTGCTGAGAAATGTAGTAATCCAGTAACTCTTAACCAAGACTATAATTTCAGTCCTCCAACTACCAAAATTCAGCTGCTTTCTTTGTCTCTTTTCACATTGGAGTATTGGACTAAAGATATTTTAAGAGAAAGGTTAACAGTTTCATTCTTGCTTCTTCTTTTTAAAATTATGTACTTGTCTAGATATGGTTAAGAATGAGTAATTAGAAAATTAAAAAAGATATGAGAAACAAAATACTAGTAATAAAAAAATCTTGTCAAACTAAAAGAGCTTATAAGATGAAATATTTGATTTTGAACCCATAAGATTTTTTGGCATTTAGTAAATACATAAATAAATCAAAAGTGCTTACTATAAGTTAATTAATGTAGGTGTTTAGCCACTAATATCGAATTCTATAATTAAATATGCGATTCATAAATATTACTCCAATATTGACTACTCTATGTCAATTGAAATTAGTATTTTAAAAAATCGAAAATTTTCAATATCCTATCACACTTACAATGTCGACCCGTTGGTGAGAGGACCCATTTGACTTGGAATGATTCTTGGAACCGTGTTGGCCCCCGTTTCACTCAATTTCTCATCTTCTTCCTTTACTCATTTTTCAGTCTCTCTGTTAATTTCCTCCTTTTCTTCCTCCTTTTAACACTGCAACTTTGAAAAGTTGAATTTCTCAAGCTCACAACTGTGGCAGCATCTTCCTCTTTCACAAGTAAGCGTCTCAATTTTCTTACCAGTCCTTTTTTCCTGAACAATTAATTTGGTCTTCTATTCTTGTTAACGTAGATTATCATCGAAAATTTGACTCTAAAAATTACTCGTTCTTAGGTGTTTTTTTTAGTATAGAACAGCATCAAGATTCGGTTGACTTGATTGGCAGAATTATAGTACATATATAGATTATGATTCGGTGAATAATAGTATATGGGTTGTTATGTGATAACCCATGGAGTAGTTTTTACTAAAAGATTGGGGATTAGAGTCCAAGTCTAAGAATAAGTTGTAGTATTAAATTTGTGTCTCCTTCATTACTAAAACAAGGCTGCTTACTTAAAAGGGTAATTTTTAGCACCATTTTAGGTTCTTTTATTCAGGTATTGCTAGTAGTACATTTATTTTTTCTTCATATACTATCCCAGATATTAAAAAAAAAACTAGATCCGGGTTATATATATTGTTAATGTGGAAAATAAATTGAACCAGAAATTGTATTACTAGTTCAATCTTGGGATTATATTATTCTTACAAGGTAAAACTAATAAGGCGTAAGTGTGTGTCAAGAAGATATCATAGTCCTTGACAGACTTAGATGTTTCGTTTTGTTGGAGGTAACACTTGATTGCAAAACAATATTCATGTTCACTACAACTACAACATATCCAGTGTAGTCCCACAAGTGGTGTCCAGGGAGGGTAGGATGTAGGCGGACATTATCACCACATTTGTGGGGTAGAGAGGCTTTTTGCTGTTTATGAAACTGGCAATGTGAAATCAACAGTATATCCTTGAGTTCCTCCGCACTTGCCCCCTAGCAATAATTTGTTTCTTTGGTTTTATCAGGTGAGCCAATTTCATTGGGCCGCATTTCAGAAATTTGAAGCAGAAGAAATGGTGGATGCAGTGGTAACTGTATTCTTGGAGAAACTTCTAAATGTTCTCACTGAGGAAAGCAGATTTCTAAGTCAACACAGACAACAGTTTGAAAAACTGAAGAATGAACTGTTATTCATGCAAAGCTTTCTCAAGGATGCAGAGAGGCTCAAGAGGAAACACACCACTCTTAAAACGGTCATGGCCTGTTTGAGAGACTTAATCTTTGAAGCTGAAGAGATACTGGAGGACTGCCAGAATCAATCAGCAGATAGTGATGGGTCTAATAGATTCTCAACGCGCTTACATCCCAAAAGGCTATCTCATCGCCATCAAACTGGGAAGCGACTTGCTGAAATCAATGACAAGATCTCGGAAATAAAGCAAAACATTTCGACATACCTTAAGGTGCCACTTATGAATGAAGGAAGTATGGAGGCACACGATAATCTAATGACAAGATGGACTTCTCCCCTTTATGACCACACTCAGGTAGTTGGTTTGGAAGGTGACACAGAGAAGATAAAGGATTGGCTATTTGAAGCAAGTGATGGTTTACTTGCCATTGCATTTGTGGGTATGGGAGGGCTCGGGAAAACCACTCTTGCTCAGAAAGTCTTCAATGAAAGAAGCATGGAGAATCACTTTGAGAGGAGAATTTGGGTGTCTGTTTCTCAAACATTTACTGAGGAACAAGTCATGAGAAGCATATTAAAGAGTTTGGGAGATGCATGCATTGGTGACGACCAGAGTGAATTGTTAAGAAAAATAAACCAGTACCTTTTAGGAAAGAGGTTTTTGATTGTCATGGATGATGTTTGGAGCTTGGACAATGCTTGGTGGCAGAAAATCTATTCTGGACTACCCAAAGGTAATGGGAGCAGTGTTATTGTAACTACGAGAAATGAGTTAGTCGCTCGCAAGATGGGAGTCACAGAAGCAAGGACACACTGGCCAAAGTTCCTCAATGAGCACTACAGTTGGTTACTGTTCCGGAAGATTGCATTTGCAGCAACTGCAGGTGAATGCAATTTTCCTGAATTGGAGGATGTGGGAAAGGAGATTGTGGAAAAATGCAAGGGTCTTCCATTAGCAATCAAAGCAGTAGGAGGAGTGATGCTTTGTAAACGACCTTACTATCATGAATGGATGCGTATTGCAAATCATTTCCGCGATGAATTGAAAGAAAATGATGACTCAGTGATGGCTTCATTACAGTTGAGCTATGATGAACTCCCTCCATACTTAAAATCCTGTTTCCTTTGTTTTTCACTCTTTCCTGAGGATTGTGTCATACTTAAAGACCAGCTGATCCGTTGGTGGATCGGAGAAAGTTTCATCCCTCTGAGAAGTGGTAGGTTATCAACTGAAGTTGGAGAAGATTGTTTCTCGCAACTATCCAATCGATGTTTGATAGAAGTTGTTGATAAGGCTTACAATGGTGTGATCCATACTTGCAAAATGCATGATATGGTTCGTGATTTGGTGATCAAAATTGCGGACGATGATTCATTTTCCACCCCATCTGATGTAAATTGTCGGCATTTGGGTATTAATAGTGCGATGAATGGGAAGCAACTACTGAGCAATCGAAAATTACGAGCACTGCTGACAACCACCAAGAGTGGTGAAGTAAACAAAATCTCTTCTGATATTGCCAAGAAGTTCTGCAATAGTCGACATCTTCAGGTACTGGATCTGTCGAAATCAATTTTCAATGTGCCTCTTTCAAGTTTGCTGGAAGGCATTGGATCTGCCAAACAGCTTACTTATCTCAGTCTAAGCAATACACACCCGTTGATTGGTGTTCCAGATTCCATATCCAATCTTGAAAAATTACAGATTTTGGACTTCAGCTATTGCCAGAATATGAAAATGCTCCCCTCTTGCGTTTTAACATTTGTGGAACTAGCTGTTTTAGATTTGAACCACTGTGGGTCACTTGAGTACCTGCCAAAAGGATTGAGTAGGCTTTCCAATCTTCAAGTACTGCTTGGATTTAAGCCTGCAAAATTAAGCCAGCCTGGAGGTTGTCGTATTTCTGAACTCAGAAGCCTTACTCGACTGAGAAGGCTCAGTTTAAGACTAACTCAGGATGAGGAGATTGGCGATGATGAGGGGAACGCACTCATAGGTCTCCAAGAACTTCAATTTTTGACAATAAGTTGCTTTGACAGTCAAGATGATGGACTAGTCACAAAACTTGGTAAACTTTATCCCCCTCGACAACTCCATGAGCTGATTCTCAAATTCTATCCAGGTAAAATAAGTCCTGAATGGCTTAACCCCACATCTCTCCCCATGTTGCGATATATGTCAATCATTTCAGGTGATATGAAAGAAATGCACGAGAACTTCTGGGGTGATCGCAGTACTGTTTGGAAAATTGAGGGGTTAATGTTGGAAGCTTTAACTGATTTGAGATTGGAGTGGTCAGCAGTGAATCGAGTGATGCCTTCGTTAAGAATACTCAAGGCTAGCTGGTGCCCCGAGTTAGAGGTATTTCCAATTGAAGATGCAGGATTCAGAGGGGGGTTATGGAAAAAGGAAGAACATAGGTGCTGACAAGAGACACTTCAACTCAATAATTACATCCTGTTTTATATCTTGTTTCCATTCTTTTGTGGATCTTAATACTTCGTATAAATATCTTGAGTTCATGATTATTTTTTTTCCTCCAGCTGTAAAAGTTTAATTATTTATCCAGAGATTGAAACATAAGCTTCTTGGATTTTTTTCCTGTCAATGCAATGACAGATCATTATTGTATAATCTCATACAAGTAATAACATTTTTCCACTTAGATTTCGTTCACTCTATTCCCGTCCTAAAGTTTTGGAAATTACAATAATAATACAAGAGTGTTTATTTCTCAGTACCCAGATTTTTCTACATTTCAGTTATTCCCTCCGTCCAGCTAATTTATGTGATGCTAGGTCTAAAATCCTCTTTGACAATTCGTATAGCTATGAATCATTTCATTAAGGATAGAAACGAAATTTTAAAGTCAAATTATTTCTAATTATAAAAGGATAGACGTTCTTTTTTGGACAGAATAAAATAGAAAGTGTGCTACATAAATTGGAACAGGCCGATGAAGAGAGTACAAAATAGAGCGGAGTGATAAGTACCTCCTCCAAATCTTAATTTAATAAAGAGCACAATGGACAACGCTCAGTATAGGGAAAACGCTATTAATCTCTAAGCGATTATTAATAGATATAGTATGTCGCGATAAACATTATCTGCATGACTTTAATTTGGGCATGAAAAGTCACAGTAACTGTACAATTTATCCTACCCACCATATGCTTCCACGAAAGTTATAATTAATGGAGTAGTTGTCCAACGTTTCTCAATCACAGGACGGAGAGATGTAAGAAGAAAAAGATGTTGGCACAAGACATAATCCTCTACTCTCTAGATCTAGCACTGCCTGTATGCTCGAATCCTGTTACACCAAACACCAAATGAAAATTTGCTTTCAGAAAATTATTCAACTATACAGTTGCTATGTAATTTAATGCACTAACATGTATAATTATTTATACAATTAAGTCACTCAGTTATAACGCTACTCCCTCTATCCCAAAATACATGTCAGGTTTCGTCCATTTAAAGTTATAATTATACAGTTTTGTTACCCTAGTTATGAAAAACAGAAGATTCAGAGAAAATTACAGCCCAATACCTTTGGATCATTTAGTTTACAAAATATATCCATAGTGTATACTTCGTACTAATATACATATACTATTCATATATGGACATATATCTATCTATATATATAATCAACAATACTTATACGCACCATATATACTTCAGTACTCATGTTTAGTAAACTAGATGGCCGGATAGTATATATTGGTAAATATACCTAATATTTAATACAAGGGAAGTATGCAATATATATAGCTCAAAACATGAGGTCCGGTCTTTGAAATTATTCCTGTATATTTTAACACATTAATTTCTCACTTACCTTTAGATTTATGTGATGGAGCTTCCTTTCAGTTGATTTCGTATAAGGCATGCTCAATGTCTGCATAATTATAAGGGATTTTTTTATATGAATTATCCTTTTCCAGGAAAACGAACATCAAGATGAATTCAATAGGAAATTAATAAAGCAGAATGAGTATGTTACCACTTACAAGTATTTGGTCCTGAAGGAACTGAATATAGCCAATGGCTTCTGTTAATACTGATGCAGTATCAGTCTGCATATATCGATCATTGTGAGAGAAAAGAAAGAAAAAATCAGCAAGGTACAAACATTAAAATAATACAACTGTTACTCTCCTTCAGCCAGTTTTTGCGTTTTAGTGGATATATTCTGATGATATGTACTATTTAATATAATGGAGTATATACCTTGCCGAAAGGTGCCACTAATCTGTGTAGAGCTGAAATCCTGTCTCCTAGTTTTTCCTTTCTAACCTGCTTCAAAACAACATCTAATTTATCTCGAGATCATGCAACTAACAACTTCCAACTTTTTAAATGAGACGGTTACACACTTCAACATATATCTATAACGACTTTGATAAGAATTTTTTGATTGTTATGTGGGAATTTTAATTATATATATAACTTCAATTTCTTTCCTCTAAATTCCTTTTTCACCTTAAGCATTAATGTGCTTGGAGATTGCGATGTAACTCGAGGCTTCTTTGATGCTTCTTGACATGGAGTAGCTTCATCTTCAGCAGAATAATTACATCTCTTTGCTTTTGAAGAGACTCCAATATTGTTCTTCCTAACATTTGATGTGATCTGGTGAAAGCAATTTAATTAATTAAGACCATTATATATTAGTGAAGGTAAATAATTAGCAGCAAAGTTACTGGAGAAATTGAAGTAAGAAAAAAGAATTAAGCAAGAAGGTCCTTACTTTGTTGGATGATGGAGTATGGGCTAATTGTTGTAGAAAACCCGAAGACATCCTGTCTGTAGAGAAGCAATTAGTATTACTATCATGGCCACTCATATTGTTCTTGAAAGTTAGTCCATTAAATGCTAACTTCAATCCCTGGAAATCTGAATTTTCCATATTATGAGTAGTTGAGAAATTTGCACCTAAACCGGAAAAAGCAATGCTAGTTTTATTAGCATTGTTCATGAACGAATCTTCGGACAGAAGATTCTCGTTCAGATCAAAAGCATGTTGTTGTTCGTTTTCAAAGTAACTTTCTTTGAACATGTTGTTACTGATCAAACCATTCATATCTTTCATTTTGAGGAAATAATCATTGGATATTATGTAGCCACTGGCCTTGTTATTTTTATCATCCAGCTGATCGTTGGATGATTCATGATGTCCGTCGTGGTGGAACATTGAGGTGTTCATTAATGGAGATGTATCGATGCCTCTTTTCCACATGAGCTCTTCTGACTGGATCCTTTTCATGTGTCCTAGCTTGTAGTAATATTCTTCTTCCCTGGAGTAATATTACAGATGAGACCAATAAACCCTAAAATTCAGGACCTCTAGAGTCCACTTCTTACGAGTGAAAGGCAACAAAAATAGTGAAGACTACTACCATTAAAGCAGTTCAAGTAAAACTTGTTACATGTGAATTATTTGACTTGCCTCCTGTAGGAATTGAACCTACAAATTATTCTGAGTAACCAAAATCTTTCGTTCATTGATTAATCAATAAGACTTGATCATACTCAAAGCAAAGAAGATGGAAAGACACATATTAATAAATTAACAACTTACGAGGTGATGCTCGAGTTCCAATCATGTATAGTTGAAACTCCAGAACTGAAAAAGGGATATCCAGCAAGCTGTTGAAGTTGATGATGATTATAAAGATTCGTAGAATCCATGGCCAAATCTAGAATATGATTCAATTAAGGGAAAGACAAAAAAAAAGTTGTTGAATGACTAGGTTTAATTTAGTTTTTTCTCAAGGCTAGTATAAACTTTGTAGAACGTATATTTGCACGCATGGTCGGTTTAGTTAGGAAGAGAGAGATTTGAAGGGAATTACATAATAAACACAAGAGAGACAAAGGAATAGAAGAGAATTAATGTGCACTGAGATGAGTGTATGTCCCTATTCATTTTTGCTAGCAGGCTATTCAATGATGGCAATCTCAGAAAACATGTGCAATTATAAGTTTAGAAGCTAAGCAAACTAACCTTTATATATATGGTGGAAAGTGATGTAAATATGATGTACATATATATACTCCATTTATATATATATATATATATATATATATATAGACATATTCCTTGTCCAAAAATTAAACGAAAAAAGGATCAAAACTGCCCTTAAATTATACGAAATTGAACAAAAATATCTTTGATTAACTAAGATATGTTCCTCTTTTTTTTTGTTTTCTCTAAGGAAAAGTTTTATAACAATCCCAACATTAAATGTTTGGAAAATGAATTTTCAGCATAACTCAAATCCAGAAGATATATAGCTCATAAGGATACCATGTTAAGAAAATAATTTTATGGGTTTAACTCAATTCAAATAAAGTGATGATTGTCCAATATAATTTAAGTAGATGAAAACCACTTCTAAGTACTCCATCTAATGAATTGAGTTTGAATGATGCATGTATTGATATGTAGTCGTCCTAATTATAATTATGTCACTAGAAAATTGTTACGGCTACCAATATTAATTAACAGTACTAGTTTATGCTTGCATATTATTGCAGTAATTAATTGCTTAGTTTTTTTTGGTTGTAATTGCTTAAAAATTAAGCAATGATAGTGTGCCTAGTTAAACTAGTACTGGATCAAGTCGTATTCCCCACATTTCATATAGATGGCAAATGTCTTTATTCGAAGTTAATGTATCCTTTTTCCTATCCACTCTCTATAATCTTAATGGCATGACATATTTTTTTACTCAATAACGGATAGGTTTGATGAAGTTTAGTAACAATGCAAGAATTTTTTTTGTCATTTTGTCTTTCGAACGGAAATCTGTATGTCTTCGTTTCTCGTAGTTCAATCGATCTCATACTGTTTTATTCGAGCTTGTTTTTCACATATAGGGCTTCTTAATTGTAATTTCTAAATACGAAGTCAACCTATGCTTCAACTTATTGAATTTTTTTTTTTAAAAAAAGAAAAACTTCTAGGAAAGGTGTTCTGCCGACCTAAAAGTTTGTTTCATGTTACACGAACATATGTACCAAGCCATTTTGATGGCATGATTCCTTGTCTAAACACATGTTTTATTGATAACACGTTACTAAACTGAAACAAACTCTTAAATAGTTTATGGATTTGAATCGATTAATAGACCCTTTATAGTGACATATAAGGTCTATTCATTAAAGTTGGAAATGATTAAAACCAACAAAAGGTGCATATCTCCCTAACGAAGATGGGAAAGAAGAGCAATATCATAACTATTGATTTGGCGGTACTTATCCCATTTTTCTTCAAGACATGAAACAAACATTAACTCACAATTAATCGAGGTTTCTATTGTATTTTAGATGGTGTATCTATCGAGGGCGTGAAATAAGAATTGATTTCACAATTCCATCAATAATATATAGTCCACCCCATCTACCCGGACTTTTTGATAGTTATATCTTATATGTATATGCATAGCAAGAAATTTATGATAGGATTATTTTAGGGAAAAAGTAAGGTATTATTGAAGGCGTGTTAACATAAAGAGCCAGAGTCCAAAATCAAGTACCCACCAAAGGCAAACGTTAGATAAAAAGGTATAGCGAATAATCAATTAACTAAATATGAAATTATGGCCCATTTTTTGTCCTCTATATTTTGGCTTCTTCTCAATTGGCCTCATTGTTGAACAACCCCCGGCCCTCTACTTTTTAAAAGTATTTTAAGAGATAAAAATAGGTGTATATTCAAATTAAGAAAAAGTACAAATTAAATCAAACACAATAAGGTGGATAGAATTATTGATTCAGATAGATATCCCGCATATTGTGCTGAAAAATTCTAGTGTAAACTAAAATAAATAGAATCAAGAAACATGTTCATGAGTTATTTGATGAAGTTCATAATATATTATAGCCCCACAACTTTCTAGCGGAAATACATAATGTACATGCTCCTAATTCCTATATTATAGAATCCAAAGAAAATATTCCTGCGATCGATAATGCAATATAGAATATATATATATATGTTTAAGCATCCAATCATATGAGGCATTGGGAATGACCAAGAATCTTTTCTACTTTTTTTAATCTTTTGTGAAAAGTTTATGCTTTGCTAAATAAGAAAGAAATCCCAGTAATATAGATATATAGTATATATTATATATAGTGTGTTCTAAATTCCCTTGGGGTTGTAGAGAAGAAATGGAATCCTAGTTGGACGCACTATGATTATTATTTTATTTAAATACAAAAAGGAGTAATATATTCAACAATCATTGGAGTGCTTGAATAATGCAAATACTGTAGCTATTACAATCATTATCCATTCACTTTTGTCACCCACGTCTAGTACTAGCAAATGTTTCAGAGCTACATCTCTTTAATTTTCATTTTCAGCTTCTTCTCATCAAACATAATAATGTCCTCGAATTTCTAATTTATTTAAACTTGTCTTAATCCTATAAGTAACTAATATATTTTTCTTACTTTATATGTTCCAAGTTGTAGAACTAATTTAAATGGTTTATTACGATATTCATTGTTTATTAAGTGACTGAATTTTTCGGATATTAAATTATAAATTAAATTCAGATTCATTATCACTAAGTGGCTGTAGTTTAGTGGTAAGAATTCCACGTTGTGGCCGTGGAGACCTGGGCTCGAATCCCAGCAGCCACAATCTCGATTTTTTTTTATCAATTAGTCACTTTTTCACTATTTATGATTTATAAGATATTAAATCCTCATAAAACCTTTTTATTATTTTCGACATGAAATTTACGTTCTAATTATTTTTTCAAGTCAAGTGTCATGGAAACAATATTACCATTTCATCCATTTTTACTTTTTTAAAAGGATTCTATATAATCGAGAATTTCTTGTTGTATTTGGGTCAAATTTGTTGAAAATGGTACTCCAATAATGAATTCATTAACAATTACAACTTGTTGATTACTTACAAATTTATTCAAAGATCAGACCGTCACGAGTATGAATTACTTGATCTCCTTATATAATCTTGAATAAATCCTTCCTTTGAACTAACTTAACTTTTGGATTGAGTTAGGCCCGAAGTTTATTTCTATATCAGATTAGTGTAGATATCCATTAAGCAGTGGTTGGCTGGTCTCTATGCTATCTCAATCTCAATAATAAAGAGTAATAGGCCGGCATCTAATTGAATAAGAAATTAGCTTAGTGTCAGTTGAACTACATTTTCCGTGGGAAAGTCATATAATAGCATTTTACCAAAATTGAATGAAGAATTAATTGTCCTACTTTTCTACATCTAGTTGTAAGGTAGAAATACACAATTGAGTAGAGTTACGTTACACATACTTTTCACTAGACCTACTTAATTCCTACTATATACGTTGTCATTTTTTTATTGGTCGAATAGATCATCAAAATCTCCATGAACTCGACGAGTTTTATTCAGTGCACACCTAAACTTTACATTGGTCTAATTACACCTCTTGAAAAGGTAATTAGATTAAAGTAAAATTTAGGTGTGCACCGAGTAAAACTTATCAAGACCAGATTTTTTTGTTTATATTATTTATACATTCATTATTTATTACAAAGTTGAATTGAAAGCTCAAAACAAATTACAGCAGTCCTAATCTTATCTCTGTTAAATGAATTTAGGCTGATTTTCTGGACTAGTTTTAATATTGGTTCGATTGTAGTCATTAGTCAACTCATGATGGAAAGCTATCAGCTGCCCAAAAAGAAAATCAATTTGCAAAATAAAATGAACCAACTCACACCAATATATTGATGATTATATATATTAATGAACTATACTCCAAATTAACTGCTGAAGTACCGCTAGAAATTTTAATCATGTGTCTCACGTAACCAATACTGGTACTAAAGTGAAGGAGTTCAAAAATTAGAACTAACTAATTAAGATGACTTACTTTTTATTTCTCTTCTTATAAAAACGATTTGAGTAAAATATAAAAGGATGGTTTTAGAGATTTCCTTATATTTTTTGCTTCGTAACTAATCTTTCTTGTGACTTATATTTACTACGCTTGTACTTTTCCATTTGATGAATAATAACATGATCCATCTTTGATAACACTAACACATGTATGTTATGTGGTTGTGAAAACAAAGATTACGTAAGATGTATATCTGTCCAATTAAGATATCAATAATGACTTTTAGATTAATTGTGAAAAGTCACAATTTTAATTTCTTGGTGAAGTTACAAACTACATGTGACTACTGTTTAATTAGATCTAATTGACAAGTTTCCATTTTGGGTGATGCTTCTTGAGACTTTTATGTACATTATATGACTACTCCTCTCATGTAAATAATTCCACTGAAATCTACAAAACAATTGATTATTCACACAAACTACTCAAGTGTTCAATCCTCACAAAAATGAAAAATATGATGGTCTACCTTACCTAACTATATGCCCTACACACTAGGGAATAGATACAGTGCCTTTTAAATCAACTTTAAAATAAAAATATCACATTTCTATGTTAAAATCAATTTTTAGTTTTAATATTCATATTTTGTCTTTAATAACATTATCTGATAGAAATGATATATTATGTTTAAAATTATAAAATCCATTTTTTATATTTAAAATTATAAAATTAAATTTTATTCTATATTTTACGTAAATATTCGACCAAATAAAAATACATAAAATGTGACAGAGTAAGTATAATATAATAACAAATAAACAAATGAGTTGGAGGCCACAGTAG